ATAAATATTACCCTTTATTGGAATGTTGGACTATCTATGAGCTTCTAATGTCCAGGGGTCTACTGAGCAGTATAAGATGCACATTTCTGGGGAGTCAAGGCTGGGAATGGGGATATATGGCTGTTTCCCTGTATCTGTCCATGGATGGCTGGGACAGCATTCATGGAAACATCTGGGAGTGATTTTACAGGCTAGTATCTGTGCATGAGCAGGCCAGGAGTGGCTGGTCTGACAGTAAAGCAGCGTAAAAGGAACCCGAGGCTAGAGAGTAAAGGGGACACAGCAGTTCAGGTTGCACCCTGGGGAAATTCACAGTAGGAAGGAAGGATGGGAGTTGTGGGTAGGGAGGTTCTGATCCTGTGGACATGCTGATAACGAGGAGGGATAGCTCAGTAGTTTGAGCAGTGGCCTGCTAAACCCAGGGTTGTGAGTTCAGTCCTTCAGGGGGCCATTTAGGGATCTGGGGCAGAAATCTGTCGGGGACAGTACTTTGTCCTGCTGTGAAGGCAGAGGACTGGACTGGACTCAATACTTTTCAAGGTCCATTCCAGTCCTACATTACACTCACCCTATTACAGAGTTCCCTCTCACTTAGTTGGGCTCTGGAGCCGATACTCACCGATGCATTTCACTGTTGGATCAGTGAACTGTTCCTCCCCAGAACTAGATGCAAACCCATGCTTGCAGGTGCAGCGGTAGGCCCCAGAAACATTTTCACAGGTTGCAAAGGCAGGACAAGTAGATGAATTCTGACACCTGTCAACTGTGAAAGGAAGAAGGAACCATGTCATTGAAAGAGAGCAATCGATAACACTTTGCACATTTTCTTTGACTTCTTCAATGTGGTTCACTTTCATTTGTTAACCTTGTTAACAATGCAGCGAGAGAGAAAATGTGGACCTAACAGAGCAGGTGGACGAGGTGGGAGGACCAAGGCAGCTGGCCTCTCTTCTCGAGACATCAGGGAAAGGATCAAGAAAAGGCCTCCATCCCTCTCCCCTGAAGCCAGGGAAACAGGAGGACATGGGAAGGGTAGGTGTGACACCCTGTAGCCCATATTCACCACTTTTATATGGCTATTAACTGATGAGTTACTTACATTTATCTCTGCCAAATGTTATGGGCCTCAAGCCTCACACTATTTACTAAAGCCAAATCTTACAGGATAAAAGCCTGTAGGCTCCTTGCATTATTACTAAATATAATAAAGCAGAATAACAAAGCAATGAATATAACACAGGTAAGCTGCCCACTGGGCTACACCTGTAGCTCATGTTCACCACTTTTATATGGCTATGATCTATTTTGTACAAACTATGCCCTATGAGGTAGCATTTTGAAACTCATAATCTGATGAATATTATTATCTTCTGAAATGTGTGTAACAAACACTGCATGTGAAATTATGAGATTGTGCTGTATGATTATTACTGAAATATGTTGTAATTCCTCGGTAGTCCTCATAAGCCAGTTCCTCAGAGACAGGAACACACTGGCATGTCAGTAACAGGCTACAGAGTCATCCCCTAGTTAATGGGAGATTCACCAACTGGGGAGTTCTCAACAAGAAATGTACAAATCAGCTGAAAGACAGTTTGGCGCTCACATACTGCCCCCCCACAGGACCCAGCAAGGGCATTTCCAGCACACAAGAATTGGAGTGTAAAGAGGGGGACAAACATGCCTGTACCCACCTCTCCTGTCTACCTTCTCTCCCTCTGCTTATTACATCAGTGAATCTTTGAAAAACACTGAACTAAGGGGAGTGGTCCCAGAATGAAAGGAAATCCAGCCTGTGAACTGAGAACTGCCTGCAGCATCTGGTGTGGTGAGAAGGATGTTGGCTTCAAATCTTATTTAGCTTGGTAATGTTTTGGAATTAGCTTGAGGTTTTCTCTTTTTATTTCATTTGTAACCAATTCTGACTTTTGTACCTTTCATCTCTCATTAATAAACGTGTTTTATTGTTTTAACTAAACCAGTGTGTTTGGGAAACCTCTACTTGAGATAACAAAGGCTGGGGCAGAAACATTACCCGTTGTTGGAATGTCGGACTATCTATCCTCTTATAATGTCAAGGCTCTACTGAGCAGTATCAGATGCACATTTCGGGGGAGCCCAGGCTGGGAGTGGGGATATGTGGGTGTCGCGCTGTATCTATCCATGGATGGCTGGGACAGCATTCATATAAACATCTGGGAGTGATTTCGCAGACTAGTATCTGTGCATGAGCAGGCCAGGACTGGCTGGTCTGACAGAAAAGGAGCATTAAAGGAACCCCAGTTTAGGAGGTTAAGGGGACACAGCAGTTCAGGTGGCACCCTGGGGAATTTCACAGTAAGATTGAAGGATGGGATTTGGGGGTAGGGAGGTTCTGATCCTGTGGACAGACTGCAGTGAGTTTTAGTCCAGAAAGAGACTAATCCCCTGCTAGGGTCCCCATTTTGCCTTAAAATCCATGTCCACCACCAGCAGCAGCAAGAAATAATTTTGAAGGGTTCTGGTTACGTTGCTGTCAGTAAAAATCTTGACTCCAGAGCTCAATGCATGGCCATCGTTGCAAGCATAAAGTAACTCCAAAGGTCATGGTGTGAGTGGCCTGGCAAGGGCAAGATTTCCTGCTGAGACACTCGTTCACGCCTAGGGAGTCATGCAGAACTGACGGAAACAAACCTGGCCAGATGCTGGGTGGGGACTCAGACGAGCTGGAATCTTGGCTCCCATTCCAGGCCCTGGAGAGGCGTGTCCACTAGTGGGCACAGACTCTTCTGTATGCTCAGACCCAAGCTTGGCTCCTTCATCTTCATCCTCGTCCCCAATTTGTCCCTGTCCCAGTGCTGTCTCTTCCCATCTCTGGCTCTTGTCCTTGTCCTAATCAGAATGCCTCAGGTGTCTCATCCCAGTCCCGGTCTCCTTTCCCAGCCAGTCCCAGTTCCCCTGCATCTCGGCTCCTCATTCCATTTGTCTCTCTCCTCCCCTCTTAGTTTCCAGCTGTGCCCACTGCCAGCCCCCCAACATTCCCCAGTCCCACTGAGTCCCAGTTTCAGTGTCCCTCCCCAGACACTTAGTCCAATCTCATTGTTGTTCCCCCAGACCAGCCCCTTGACCCAGTCTCTTTATCTGGCCAGTCCCATCTTCCCCCTGCACCCTGTTGCCTGGACAGATCTGTCTCCCCACCCTACTTCCACACACTAGTTTCCATGCCCAGTTCCATCCCACACTCGCACCTGCTTGGCTACCCTCTATTGATGGAAGTGTAGACGTACCCTTAATCATTGCAGCATGCTCACCGGTCAGTAGAGTGCACTAATCCATAACTTTTCTGGCAAGTGCAAGAGCTGGTCCAATGGCATTAGAGCAACCTACATTACACTCAACACATTACAGAGTTCCCTCCCACTTAGCTGCGCTCCAGAGCCAATACTCACCGATGCATTTCACTGTTGGATCAGTGAAGTGTTCCTCCCCAGAACTAGATGCAAACCCGCGATTGCAGGTGCATTGGTAGCCTCCGGAAATGTTTTCACAGGTTGCAAAAGGAGGACAAGTAGACAATTTCCGACACCTGTCAACTGTGAAAGGAACAATGTCATTGAAAGAGAACAACGGATAACCCTTTTTACCTTTTGTTTGACTTCTTCAGTGTAGTTCATGCAGGAAGGGAGAAATTCTGGGCCTAAAAGAGCAGAGGTGGGAGGACCAAGGCATCTGGCCACTCTTCT